AATTTGGCCTGTAAAGGATGACCAGGAATAGGTAAAAATACAAGAACCTTATCACCTGGCTTAAACACCCTATTTCTGGCATCTTTGTCATACCACATTTTCATTTTCATCTGAGAACTCTTCAAATTTTCTTGTGCTAATTTACAAGCATTGTAAAGTTTTTCTTTGAAATCAGACACATAATCTAAAAGATTAAGATCACTAGTCTCAGTCAGCCACTTTTCCTTCAACAATTTCAAAGGACCTCTAACTGTATGACCGAACACCAATTCAAAAGGACTAAACCCAAGAGACTCCTGGACTGCCTCTCGTGCAGCAAATAGTACAAGATGAACCCCTTCATCCCAGTCTTTCTCATACTGGTAACAATAGGTCTTCAGCATTGTTTTTAAGGTCTGGTGAAAACGTTCTAGCGCCCCCTGGGATTCAGGATGATAAGCAGTTGATCTATACTGCCTAATACCCAACTCATGCATGACTTGCTGGAACAACCCCGACATAAAATTTGAGCCTTGATCCGACTGAATTGCCTTGGGTGCTCCTACAAAACTGAAAAACTTGGTTAGGGCCTTAACTATGCTCTTTGCCTTTATATTCCTAAGAGGTATGGCTTCAGGAAATCGAGTGGATGTACACATAATGGTAAGTAAATACTGGTTTCCTGACCTAGTCCTAGGCAAAGGTCCTACACAATCCACCAACACTCGACTAAACGGTTCTTCAAAAGCTGGAATGGGTTGGAGAGGAGCAGATGGTATCTTCTGATTTGGTTTACCTACCATCTGACAGACATGGCATGACTTGCAAAACTTCGAAACATCCTTTCTTAGCTTAGGCCAATAAAAATGACTCAAAATCCTATTATAAGTCTTATTGACACCTAAATGACCTGCCATAGGTGTATCGTGAGCTAAACTCATGACATCTCGACGATAAGCAGCTGGGACCACTATCTGGTGAACAACACGCCACACTTCATCTGGAGAAGCGTCAGGTGGTCGCCATTTTCGCATAAGGATGCCATCTTTCATATAGAAGCATTCTCCAACTTTAGTAGCCTCTTCTGGTGGAAGTGCCCTCTTACTAAGTTGGATGATATATGGGTCTTTATGTTGTTCAGAGAGTAAACGTTCTCGGCTGAGGATGTCCTTGTCTTGGCTAACTAATGGATGCAACTCATCATCCTCACCACCAAATTTTGGTAAAAGTTCTTTCTTCACTTGCTTCTTGATATTGTGTGGTTCCATGCTTGTTTGAGTGCCATCAAGGTCAGATAAGAAAGTGTCATTCAAATCAATATCAACAGAGGAATTCGTCTCGTCAAATGCTTGAGTATGGTCTGCCTCCATTTCTCGTCTTCTGGCCATCGCTCTAGTAACAGCACAGGCTGGATAAATGTCATCATCTTCATCAATATACATGACATCTGGATTGATCTTCTCACAAACTATAGGATCTGGTACAACTTTTCCACCAGCTAAATCGTTGCCTAGCAACAAAGAAATGCCTGGAACGGGAAGAGTAGGTCGAACACCTACGATAACAGGTCCAGTAACTAAATCTGACTTCAAACTAATTCTATGCAGGGGAACATCAATGACGCCTAGCTCCACACCCTGTAATAAAACTGACCCACCAGTAGAAGTCTGCTCAGACAAAGGAAGCACGCCCTCTAACAATAACGTCTGTGCAGCACCAGTATCTCTCAAAATCTGGACAGGTTTTATTTCGCTAGAGTCACCGAGTGAAACAAATCCCTGAGACATAAAGGGCTTATAATCCTCCATAGAATCAATAGAACTGGACTGTGAACCCTGGACATCAGGAGTGTCAGAACAAATCGAAACTAAGGCTTCTCTATCACCTCTAACTGCCGCACAAGCATGTGGTTGAGTTTATTCAAAATCATTTTTTCTCTTAAGTTTAAAGCATTCACTGATCAGATGACCCTTTTTCTTACAATAACTACAAGTAGGAAGCGACCCTATTCCAGACGATCCTTCAACACGTCCTGGACCGGACTTAAAACCACCTTGGGATGGAGACTGGGAACTTGTGAAAGACTGAGACCCTGAACCACTCTTTTTATATGTGTCTGAATTGGTAGAATTACTGCTAGTCTGAGATCTTGAAACAAAATTCTTTTTATGAGACAGAGCATAAGTATCAGATATGACTGCTGCCTCTTCAAGAGTTTTCACATTCTTATCTTCTAAATGTGTTTTCAAATCTTGAGGAACACATTCCTTAAACTCTTCTACCAGGATGACTTGGCGCAAATTAGCAAAAGTTTTATCAAGTTTCTTGGATCTAAACCAGTGATCGAATAAATCTTCTTTCTCTCGTGAAAATTCAACAAATGTTTGATTATCAAACTTCCTATACTTTCTAAACTTTTGTCTATATGCTTCAGGTACTAATTCATATGCTTTTAATATTGCTGCTTTGACCTTCTCATAGTCTGAACTCTCAACTACCCCTAGTGCAGAGTATACCTCAGCCGCTTTGCCAACCAGTACACTTTGTAACATTGTTGACCAAACGTGTTGTGGCCATTTAAGATTCTTTTCGACTTTTTCGAATTGGGGAAAATATTTGTCTACAGATTTTTCTTGAAATTTCGGAACTAACCTAATGTTTTTTGCTGCGTCAAATTCAGTTTTGACAACTGACGGTTCTGGTTGGTTTTGTAATTTTAATTTCTCTAATTCAAAGTTCATTGCACGCTCTTCTCTTTCTGCTGCTAATTTGTCTAATTCAAATTTTCGTTCACGCTCTCGTTCTTCTCTTTCTCTTTCTCGCTCTTCTCTTTCTTTTTCTCGATCTTCTCTTTCTAATTTTTCTCTTTCTAATCGCATTTTCTCTAGCTCTAATTGAAACTGATATTCTGCCATTTTCAGTCTTCACAACAATTCTTTTTCAGCACATACCCTTCGGGCATGTATACCGATTATTTTAACCCAGCCCATTGAAATTTGTACATGCCCTACTCAAAATTAATTTATATAACGTTAGCAGATATGATTGTGCAACAAAAAAATAAGGTTTTTATGTTAACTATAAGGACAGTGTTTCCGTTTTTAAATTCTCTCGATCTTAAGTTTAAATTGTTTTCAGAGTTTTAAATCAACCATAGCCTGTCTGTCTCTCATTTTCGTATGTGTTTTTGACTTTTTGTTGACAATTTTTGACTCGCATGCGGGTCTTTTGTTGGCTGATTATCTGAACTGAATTTCAGAAATAGGATCATGACAGCAGTCCACTGCACGCGGCATCAATAAACATATTGTAATTTAGCAAGAAACTTTGAGAAAACAAATAGGTTAAAATCAAACACTTTAATGATTATGATTGACAGTCATTTGCCAAGTCGTATCGAGAATGTAACGCAATACACATGTAGACTGACAATTCAACTTAAGACATAACATAGCAAGTTTACGCGAATAACTGGGTACGACAGAAAAAATGGCAAGTAAATATTGTAAATCGAAAGAAAATTCACACATGCCCTTTGGGCATGTAATTTGAGAATTTTCACATGCCCGATGGCAAATTTACCAGGTCCCGGGCATGGGGCACCCAGGTTATTTCGAAGACTGCATTTTGTAAGAGCCTAACTCTGATTTAACTGTATATTCTGAAAGATCGTATTTTTCAAAGATGTTTTCTTCTACTAGTTTGTTTGCAACCTTAATTCTAATGTCTTGCTTTCTCTGAGAGGATTTAACATCTAACCCAAAATGCAAACCTAATGCAATCAAGTCATCCTTTTTTAACGTATCAAAAACCTGAACACTTGGTGAACTAAGAAAGTCTGTGACCGAAAATACCATGTTGATTTTTGCTGGCTTATAGTCAAATTTAACGGTTCAATAAACAAAATTCTGACAATAAACTGCAAAAGTGCAAGAAATTCTTTATCCCGGACGAGCCCCCAATTCTGTTATGGGTCAGAATTACCCGAAATGCCAGCAAAGATCAATAACACAATTTAAACTTAACAATAATTTATTTACAGTAATATATATAATAACGTAGTACAAACTTAGCAAGACATCAGAACTGCACACAAAGTACAGTTATATCTTAGCAAGAAGTCTCACAATTAAATACATTGAATTGACATCAGAGTGTAGAAAATGTTAAAACATGTTGCTGCACACAATGTTCTAGATAAAATCCAAACATGTTGAAAATATATCTAATTATATACATAATTATATCTCTAGATTTTAGTGCTTATATCATGATTTCAAAAAAGTAAATTTCACAATTATTGTATATCTATTTATCTAATATTGAATTTTTTTTGACAGGGTATTTATATTTTTTTCAGTATTGAAAAATAAATCTAGAATATTCGAAAAGTTATCCAGCATGAAAATGTTAAAACATGATATTACTGGAACAATCTGGACATACACAAAATTTAAGAATGTTCTAGATAAAATGACCAAATGTTGACCACTCTGGAATGTTCAAGAAACTTAATGTTGGTAATTCATATTTGATTTGGTTCTCCTTGAGAATAGTAAACATACATGTATCCTTCAATGTCTTACAATTTCGAAGAATTTCCTTATATTAGATAAATGAAGAATAAGTAACTAAGACCATTAACCCCCTTCCCCGCAGTCACGCATTTTAACGCATATACCATTTCCTATTTCTAACGCAAAATCACGCATTTACCGTTTCCCCGCAATCACGCATTTTCACGCACTTTAAAAAGTTCATATAATCTTCAATTTATTGCCCAATTCCAACTATCTTATACTTGCTTAAATCTCTTAAAATAAGAAAAGTTATTTTTTGATTAAAATATTACTTCATAATATTATTTACGCTAAACTTTAAAGAAACTTGTACCCCGCTGTAAAATGCTTGCGGGGAAATGGTAACGTAATATTTATATGACGCGAGGATTCAGTGTATGTTGCAAAACAATTTATTAAGTTGTAAAGAGTTAACGAACTTAAATTCACTTTTTTGAAATCATGATATTGAATACCAGCATTACTCAAAATCTAGAAGACATAGGTTGTAGGACGATTCTTGTAACGTTAAGTGGTGAATTTGGTAAGGAAGTTACTAGTACCTTACTTACTCTAAAGGCAGCTCTTGCTAGTAAATTTTCGTGAATTAGAATAATAAGACAGTTAAAATTGGAGGAAAATGTAAAGTGACACATGTACCAGGATTTGAAAAAAGAATGCAAAATAAGAAGTATTTTGCGAAAAAACTTTCGTTGTACAATCACAAAATAATTGTTAGTTCTATTAGGATATTAAAAAAAACGTATCGTTCATTTGGAGAACGACTTAACGAATGGAATTTTATTTCACACTTTCACAATGATTTGCTGAGTCTTTTTGTTTGACAGCGGATAATGGTTTGCCACTATTTCCAGTAAAACTTCTAATGAAAAAAAATTCAATTTTCTTTTTACATTTTGCTCGAAATTACGAGTAAACTGTTAAGAGAAATACTGTTTTCTACCTCAGGGTGTGACTTATCCGGCTTGCCACGGTATCTGGAGACACTGGGCCCCGCCTCTAGAGCGGTCACGACTGGCCACTATTTCATTCTGTGGTAAGTATTTCACAGATCTTTAATTATTTATGCTTTTTGAACAATTCTTTAATAATTGGCGAATGTAAAAAAGAATATACATTTATCATACCTGTATGAAGGAAATTAGGCCTTTGGTACATAATTCAAAGCCGAATTTCTTTCCCGCATTTATGGAAATAAATATATGTTTACATACTATTCGAACATTGCATTGTTATATTCCCAGTAGTATAAAAGTTATTTGACTTTAAATGTTGTTCAGTAAAATACACATGCATCTGTATGATGATATCTTTAGGATCATATGCTGGAGCTGTTCTAGGGATGCCTCTTTCTGGAATCTTGACAAAACATCTCGGATGGCAGTCGGGATTCTACGTGTTTGGTAAGCAGTTATTCGTTCTCAGCACATTGGTCTTTCTAGAGATAAGTTTTTTTTTTAAAAATTTATAAGTAGAAAAGATACACGTATGAGGGATTTAAAACAGAAAAACCAGCGTGCAAATGTTAATGATTTTAATTTTTTTCGGTAGGATAGTATACACTTATCCACTGGGTGTGAGTGGGCTAGCTCTTTTATCAAACCCGCGACAGAGAACTATTCCCCGAGGGCTTGCCCGAGGGGAATAGTTTCTGTCAAGGGTTTGATAAAAGAGTTATCCCACTCACAAACAGTGGATAAGCGTTTTATTATACTGATGTATAATATAATTTCTGAGGTTTGAATTTTTTGGAGTAAGATAATACTGCAAGAATAATCTGAAATCCTGATGACGTCACAATGCTACTGAAGTCATTATGACATCGTCAGTAGATAGATCTATCGTTGGAAATCAAAATTGGAGGCAAAAATTGCATGAAAATTTTCCGAGGGTGGATAGCAAAAACTATACCCCGGGGTATAGCTTTGCTATGCGTGAACTATAAAAGATGGCTATTTTACCTTCTGAACTTTATATAGGAAACATTTTAACAGAAGTAAAATAACATAACTTATATGCTGCTAGAGCAAATTCTTTTATCTGGATATTATCAAATCTACAGGTTATGTGACCCTGAATAGTCTCATTTCGTTACCGAGATTTTCGATAAGAGTTTGCATATACCAATAAATGAATTTTGAATGCCATATAAAGAAAATGTAATAAAAGTCGAATTATAAAGATACAAAACAGGTCTGCTAATAAAAGGTGGGGCAATTTACACCATGCGAATTCCGACTGATTGTTTGAAAAGCTGGAAAACCTTGTCTCCAAAAAATAACATAGATATTGTCAAAGAGAAACTAGAGCACCTTTAAGCATTAATATTAGAGTATGTTTGTGTACAATAGAATGTATTTTTCCACAAAATATTTTGCAAATGACCAATACATACATCTATGAGATCTATTTTAAATGAAAAGGTCAATGAATTAAAAAATTCTATACTTTATCGTCTGAATAGTTTTATATAGAGTTGAAAAGTCATAAGATTTGATGCTATTATAATTAGCTTTGGAAAAACTTTCTGATTTCAAATATTCTGTACTACAGTTTATTTACGAAGTGTAAAAACTCAGATGATGATCTTAAAAGAAATCTAAACACTTTTAGAAACTTTAAATCGCCTTTTTTTTTTCAAAAATCCATAACATAAAATTTACGGCAACTTTTCTCAACTTTATACAACAATTCTTCATGATGAAATAAAATGTAGACTTTTTCATTTTAAAAGACAGCAAATAGTTGATATAAAAAGGATGCTGGAGTTCCCAATGGACAGTATTTATTTGTCTTCGGAGACTAAATTTACTGATGGAATTTCCATAGGCATCTAGTGTGTTCCTATATTATTTGACCTGTTTTTATATTCCTATGAAGCAGAATTTACTCAGTAACATCTACACGAGAAGAGGAAAACACTAACTGTGGTCTTCAGTTCAATATTCAGATATATTGACGATGTTTTATCAATTAACAACAATTATTTTAATTCGAATGGCGACTCAATATATCCCAGGGAACTTGGAATAAAAGAAATCACAGAGTCTGCCACATCTGTTTCTTATTTGCATGTTTTACTGACTTAAATTAAGGTCAGTTAACAACTAAATTGTATAATAGACGAGATGGCTTCAGTTTTTCCACCCTCACTTTTCCGTTATGTAGTACATGTAATTATCAGCTATCACCTGCTTATGGTATTCTATAATATGTCCTCTTCTACCCCACTTGAGAACTTGGTTTAAGCACAATCAATTTTTAAAGGGAGACATGCTTCCAACTGAGAAGTTGATGATAACGGATACAACAACCTCGTTTAAAGTCGCAATTTCGAAAATTTCATGGTCATAATAAATACTTTGTTAGCAAATATAACCTAGCAGTAGGTCGTATTTTGGCTTGTTCTTTCAAACGAATTGTTAGGGCGTTGGTTTTACCCTGAACAGACTACAGACACTTCGTCTGCTTGATCAATACGTACAGGCTCATTGCGGTTGTGACTGGTCAAGAAGAGATGCTAACTCCTCCTAGGTACCCGATCCATTCTCTGGAAATTCCAGGAGCCCTTTTTATGCCCTTTTAACCTATTTGTATTGTTTATGATTTTTTTGAGATCGATTGGTATTCTTTTTTTTCTTAATCTCTTTATTTTTAATGGTGTGGTGCCAATTTTGACATACGTTCTTCCTGTTTAATTTTACAGGTATTCTAGGCATGATATGGTGCCTTTTCTGGATGATATTTTCTTTTGAAAAGCCAGCAACAAACCCTCATATAACGCAGGAGGAGCGAATTTATATAGAAACGTCTATAGCCGAGTCTGGCTGTCTGGTTGACAAGGTAAAAATACAGGATTCCAAGGATAAAACTTAATTTTCTAAGATTAAATTCAAACTGTTGTCATTTAAACGAAATGGGTATTTCCGTGGATATGAAAAAACTTTCAGAATGTACAGATTGCAGTCAAAGATGTGTAATGTGTCTTTTATTGTTAGTTAGATTTTTTCCATACTAGCATATGTAGCAGAATGTAGTGAGTTTTGAAAGAATGCAGAAAGTTCTTTCTCCTGTCTCTTGACAGCACATGTTTGATTTCGTTAACGACCATTTTTCTATTTGCCTTCGATCAAATAATAGAAAGGGTAATTCAGAGACTTTCATGTTGATTCTATGGCCCCATGAGAGGAAACATTCCCTTCTTAATTCAATCTCGTCTATCAATCTAGGGATATTCAGAAGCATTTGAAAAAAAGGATTTGCCGAGGATCGAACGAGAGTTTTAGCTTGGGGACCTCTCTGTAGGTTATATAAAAGTTGAGTTAATCAAGACCTTTCTCCGCATTGTTAGATAAACCTTAATTTAACGACTTGGTAAAAACACAAGTAGAAGAAGAATATGGAAAGACCGAAGAAACACCGAGGGCAAATCCAAGGTTTTGCTGGTGATGACACGTCTATTCAATTAATACCCATTGACTTTAGATTTTTTAAACATTAATCATCATTTGATGGACAGTTAAAGAAAACTGTCATAGCATCCGTTTCAAAGTGTCCGGAATAAAACAAAATCTAAGAGAATAAATAAATTCTAAGGGAAAACGACTCCACAAGACAAGTCTTCTGCATTAGCGTAAAGACAACAATGGCGAGAGAAATAGAGACATATTAGATTTTTTGGCACGATTATAAATGAAAGAATGTGGTAATGAACAATTATGAACTCAGAACCGAAGGAATTTATGCAGCTCCACTAGTTTCTGCAATTTAAATTGTAGATATTCAGGGGAAAATATGATTTCAGTAAAACAACGACCTAAAGGTCAGAGTAATGTTCAAACTTAATTTCATTGTTCTTCTTGTCAGGACATGAAGACGCCATGGTTAAAATTCTTTTCATCAATGCCTGTTTATGCGATAATAGTCGCCAATTTCTGTCGAAGTTGGACTTTTTACCTGCTTATCATTTCCCAGCCGATGTATTTCACTGAGGTGTTCCATTTTGATGTTTCCAAGGTAACTTCCTATAAATTTAAATTTACAATAAGAATGAAATTTTGATATATCTTATTATTGGAAATTGTGAAGTCTGATTTTATTCTTAGCCAAATATGGTTTCAAAAAGATGTACGTAATTAGCAGTGTTTAACGTGATAAGGCCTTAACCCTGGATTGTACAAAACGCAATCCATGTTTCATGCCATTGTTACTCAAAGATTTATTTGATAAAAATTAATGACATACACTTTTTTAAAAATTTTATTTTATTTTGATTTTAATTTAAATATAAAATTTTGTAGAGTGGTATTTTAGCAGCACTGCCACATCTTGTCATGGCAATCATAGTTCCTATAGGAGGATTTATAGCAGACAAGCTTAGGCAGCGCCTCCTCACCACGACTCATGTCAGGAAAATATTTAATTGTGGGGGTAAGGAAACGAAACTTAAATCTACAAATCTAAATTTTGGGGATATGGATATCAATTTGAAATCTCTAAACCAAAAAAAAAAAAAAAAGAATAATTGTGTGAATAAGGAAATGAAAATAAATCTGTAAACCTAGCAAGAACTTAATTTTTTGTTATTGGAAACGGGTGAATAAGGATATAATCTACAAACCCAGTAAATATTTAATAATTGGGATGAGATATAGGTTTTAAATCTACGATTTCAGGAAATATTTGGCTCTCTGGGTAAGGATAAAAAATTCTACAAACAAAGAAAATTGAATCGTATTCATTATTAATGAAAACTATCAATGTACGATCATCTTCATTTATCGTGGTAAATTGCAAGAACACGTATAATACGTACAATATTTTTCTCAAAATCGATTTTTATTGCAAACTAGTAGTATGCAAAAATCAAGGTTATAAGACTTAATTCAAAAAAGGCAACTCGTTCTAACCGCAAGCATGTCTACACTTTGTTCAAAATCCGAATATAACCCATATATAGTAAATCAGGATGTAGCCTATAGAAGTTCAGGATAATAACCCTGAAAGAAATAAGGATAACGTCAATAGTTTATACGAATATAGACCATATTTAACCAGGATATAGCCCAAAGTAAATCAGAATAAAGCTCAGAGTCTATCAGGATGTAGCCCAGAGTAAATCAGTGTATAGCACAGAGTAAATCAGAATAAAGATCAGAGTAAATCAGGATGCAGTCCAGAGTAAATCAGGATGTAGCCTAGAGTCAACCAGGATGTAGCCTAGATTAAATCAGAGTATAGCATAGAGTAAATCAAAATAAAGATCAGACTAAATCAGGATTTATCCAAAAATAAATCAGAATGTAGCTCAGAGTAATTCAGAATGTTCTTTTTAGGTTTTGGTCTAGAGGCTTGTTTTCTGCTTGGAGTTGCAATCACGAGAAACACGACAACAGCTATCGTGTGTCTGACCCTAGCAGTTGGATCCAGCGGATTTGCCATCTCAGGTAATGAATCTACATTTTAATTTAGAACAGATTGATTTTGTCTTTATTGAACCTCTTTTCCTGAGAAAAAAGATTTAAGGATTAAGGTCTTTTAAAAGTATTGAAAACATTACAAATCTCTCATACAGGAAAGCCCTGATGAGGTAAATATTTAATCAGGCTTGGATAGAATGTTTCATTTTTGTGTAAGCAACAAACAAATGTTGCAGTTAATTTCTGACATTCTAGTGTTTTAGATGTGGTTGTCAGAGATGACTATCGTATACAAAAATACAGCACTGCTACCTGCGGGGCATAGAAATCTGAATAGCATGAATAGGGAACTATGAAACTAGGTACTAGGAACCTTTCAGGTTTTAGCAGGAGCTAATGACATTATACAAAAGGTTGGACTGAAACTTGCGTACACACAGTGCGAAGAACCGTAATTTAATGCGGTGTTATACATCATCGTTGCAGAGATGAAAGATGGTTTCAATAAAATGAAAAATTAATGATCCCTCACATATCGGTATCATCGATCAATCTTAGATATAAATTGCATCAGACGCAATTCAGAGCTTTTGTTGTGGTTCGGTCTCACATTCCGTGCTGGGAGGCAATTCCATTGCTGTATTTGGCACAACATAATGACATTTGATTTGTAAACCAATTATAATTTCCAGAACTCATTTGCAATATCGTCAGATTTTGTATTTTATAATACCAGGTCCTCTCCGAGGAACAGATTTTGTATTACTAAGCAATCTCATCGGAGCAGATTAGGCTTGAATGCCGTGTAGGACAATATAATATTATGTATTTTCAAAAAGCAAGCATAAAATTTTCAAAACAATGATATAATGCTTTATCATTATTCAAAAAAAATGTAAAATCCGGAACTAGTTAACCTTTCCGTTATCTTTTCGCCTCATTAATATCGCTGCACATCTTATGGAGATTTTCCAGTGGTTTTAATTTGTAGGCGAGGAAACCTTAGCAACCAAAGACCAGACCTTTCTGTTGATAATGTCAAGGAATATGCATAAAATAAAGTCATTTAATAGATACCTTTTAAATCATGACACCTGTTATGTAAAATTTAGATTTAATGTTATGACGGTACATGTATATGCATTTAATTTAGAGTCATTTCAAGCTTCTGCAATATGCAAACGAAGGCAAGAATGTAAATGAAAAATATTCAAAATTCAAAACAATTATATCTCCTGTACATGTTTTTGTATCTACAGAAATCAAATTAGATTTTTGTAATGTCCCCACTCAAAATATGTGTACATGCATTGATAGAACGTTCTTTTGAAGTAAGGCTTTTGTTTTAAGCCGAATGCTTTGTATGAGGAAGAGTTTCAGAACAGAAAATGATTGTTGATATTACCAGCAGGTGCTTGTCATGGCGTAATATATAATATCCTGTGTATATTAATTGTGGCCTTCTCTGTTTTAATCAAACTTCATATCTCGAAGTTATCTCCAGCATTCTGATCTATAATGTTAAAGTATATTTTTGTCTTGCCTCAAGGTTAACAAGCAATCTAAGCTATTGAGTCCTTTCCTTGAATAATGAACCTTTCCTCCAGTTTTCCTTAATTTTTTCCGATTCAACAAACCATTTACGTTGGTATTAATCACCTATTCGCAGATTATTGCTTGGTAGCATCCGTATTGTCTCGTTAATATAAAGGAGACAGATGAAAATAATTCCAATCTTAATGGCCATTTTGTTTTAGGATACGATATTCGATTAGTTCAGACAGTGCTAACCTTGTACGTCTCATATTAGACATGAAATTATTACAAATCTAGATATCGTATTTAAAAGATAAATCAAAATTTATTGCTTAAGTTAAGGAATTTATCCTTGTGTATATTTGATAATGTACCATTATACGTGTATATTATACATCATTACGTGTATAACGCTGAAACTATGTAAGTAAGGTCACATCAAATGCTGAATGGAAAAATCAACATGTACATGCGCCACATTGTACAAACAGTATAGCCTCAAGTATATTCAATTTTAGGTAAATTAACGACACAATCATTTTAGATTCATAAACAAATTGAGATTTTAAGATTCTATTTTACAAGTATAATAATAAAGGACTTCATGAAAATATATCTGTAGAATAGGACGTCTGTTAAGGCTAGAAATTTTGCTTGAATAATAATTACTAGAATATATCATCACCTTCATCACTGAAATACGGCGTTTATACCTCTCAGTTGATTCGATACGCAAAAGCATGCTTTACGTATGTACAATTTCTAAAAAGAGGTAAATTGTTGACAAACAAGTTGATGAAACAAGAATATTAGCAGTCTCGTTTAAAGTCATCATCTCGTAAGTTCTGTGGTCAATACAATGACCTTGTCAGCAAATACAATTTATCATTAAATGCTGACTGACGTTTTTCCATATTCATTGTTAGTTTATTATTTACACACTGAATTGGCATGATCTCCCGATCATGATGAGGAGCACACGGCGGGTGTGACCGGTTGGTAGGGGATGCTTACTCCTCAGTGGCACCTGATCACAACTTTGATGTTTTGGACGTCCATGTTTGCTTTGTTTCTATTTTGTATTATTTCATGAACTTTTGAGCTGGAATACTGTTTGTTATCTACATATATTTCATACAGTGTGTATGAAATATACTTTGTGAAGCTTGGGTTACAGACTAAAAGGAATGAGCTAATTTCTTCTTAAGTTTTGAATTCGTTTAAAGTAATTAACAATTTTCTTTTGATAAATTGGCCTTTGATTTAAGAAACTTAACTTGATACGACATAAAGGTATGTACTTGCACGACAAACTTTGAAAAAAAGAGACATTGGTGATATAACATTTTATCTGTGACGTGCATACTATTTAAGAACCAGCTGGTAGATTTCATTTATATATTGTATAAAATTTGTGCATAGAGAAGTGTTTTTAAAATTTTAAGATAAAAGAATTTGAAAATTAAACTGTAAAATTATATTTCTAGGTTTCAATGTCAATCACCTGGATATAGCTCCGCGCTTTGCCAGTATTCTGATGGGTTTGTCTAACGGTGTGGGTACTCTATCAGGCATGTTATGTCCAGTTGTGACAGAACTTCTCACCAAGAAGGGGGTAAGGAGCAATACTGTAGAATCATCAATGTTCGTGGGGGACCAATGTTCGTGGATTTCTTGGGTCACCCTTACCCACGAATTTACATCCCCACGAACGTTTATTTTGTTAACATATTGATTCAATGAACCATCATATTTACGAATCACCCACGAAATTGCGTCTCCATGAACAGCTTAAAATTGAGTGATACATATTAGGTACATAATAAATTGCGGCTATAATATGTAAGAGTGCTGACTCTACCTCTCCTAATATTATAAAGAACTTGAAATTGACATATACTCATCCAAGTTCAAAATTTTGTTTCGTGGAATTGCAGACAATTAATATCTAAATCCTTTAATTTCGTACATTATTTCTTCTTTTTTTTTTTATTTATAATATTTTAGAAGTAAGCTAGCACAATATTATTTTGCTTGTATTACGAAGGGCAGACGTGATTATGATATTCCATGTTTTCATAGTGATGTGGATCCAGAAAAAAAGGGGGGTCCATTCTTTCAATTTGTTAATTATTTATTTCATTAATCTATCTAATGATATCGAGTTAAGTTTAAGGTAGGACCAAATAGATAGGTCAAATTTTTCCTCAAATTCAATTTTTCTGAAACTTTGATATTTTGTTCTTGGATACAAAATCTCTCTTTATACATGATATGAAAGAAATTCAACCGCACATTTTTTGCCCACATAGTCTGAAATATGGCCTATCAGACCTCTGTAAGAAAATTGCAAAATCAGACATTCGACTTGAGAATGAGCCTTATTTCAGAATTTTCAATTGATCGATTGCAAATTTGTGTAATACTTTCAATAAAGATAACCTTTTTGTTACATTAAATCAGTAAGTCACATTGATACTGGAAAATTTGGGTAAAATATTAAGTAAAATAGAACACACATTGTATCCGAAACTGAAAATTCACATGTAAATATCCGACAGTTTAAGTTTTCTTAAGAGAAAATGTATAATTCAATTTTTACAAAAAATTAACAGAATGATTCAAATGGGTCCTAAAATAAAATGTGTAAAAATAAAGAAAATTGAACCGGTGGTTTAAGATATTTTCGGCGATTAAAAAAATTCAATGGCAAAAAAACTGAAATATTCAGTAGATGACGTCACAATAATTGACCTTTGACCTCGTGATATGACCTTGACCTTTGTAGTACATGAAGAATGGAGACTCTTTATATATGTGTCCAAATATCTCCCCTCTACTATTTATGGAACAAAAGTTGCACTGCATTTTATAACAGACTGTTACATGCTTGTTTATTTCACTTAGATAGCGTAAACACATTCCAAGATGTAAGCTCCCAAGTGACCAATATATAGGATTCTCTGATTTTTTCACGAAATATAACGCAAATATACCAAAACTTATTATTTTTCTTTCAGGGATCATTCATTGTTGTCAATATAGTAATATTATTCTTTTTTCCTCCAGTAATTTTTAAGAAATGGGTTAAAATAGAAATCGCGGGTGTTTTGTCCTACCTTAAGTGATTCATCTTGAAAAAAATCAATTACCATCTAAAATAATTACAGTCTTTATGACGTCACAATTGACGTATATGTATTAATTTTAACGTCATGTTCAAAGACTGACAAAGAGAAATGTAACATATGTTTTTTTGAGTTTTGAATTCAGATAATATAAATCGAAGATCATGCCTCGCCACAAATTTCGTTTCAAACGAACTACTGACTTTTTTTTTTTTTTAAAATATATTGTGTGTAATTTTTATTCAACTATTGTTATATAAACCAAATATTACCGAATGTTCAACAAAACTGGTAAATCTTTGCGACATCAAAATTTAAATGTAAAAGCATATTTCATATTGGCCACACGTATGAACAACGATTATATTAAGCATGTAGATTCGTATCAGCAATATTTATTCATGTGGTAAGTATGAAAGTTGTTCTTGACTGTGGCCACACTTAATTTTGGGAAAATCTGTCGAAAAATCGGCATTTTTGAACGTTTTTATGAAACCGTCGCATCTTCAAACCATCGCACGTGCCAAACAGCGCATTAATTAATAATATGAGTTATGTAAGGAAAAGAAGTATGTTGTCCTGTAATAATTAACGTATAATACCGGCCATGAATAGAAACTCAATTTTTGTGAAAAACACAGGGCCAAATATGATAGTTCGTGGCTTTACCTCAAATTTTGCTTACCCACCAATATTGACCCCACACGAGCTTTTGTGTTTCATATGGACCGTATTATATCTGTTAACAATTCTTTTTGTTACTGGATTTATTAAGTCGACCACTTTTACATGTTGTAATAACAGATAGACCGTTTATATGCAGGGCATTTTATTTGCACGAGTTACTGTTTGAAGCTTCATGCTACACAATCCGTTTTTCGACAAGATAAATCTTTAGAATATTATATCAAAATCATATATCAAAACAAATAATTTCAAGAAGAACCATGTTTCACCAAGAATAAAGTCAAAGCTTTTCCAACCCCTTTTCCATTAAAATGGTACCTACCTTATATTTGTTTACATTCATTTGTTAACACCATTCTCTGATCATGACAAGGATTTTAAGGCGGGTGTAGAAAAGGAGGTTCACCCTTCCATGGCACCTGTTCCCTAATTTGACATTGTCAGAGATTCATGTATGCTCTGCTCTTCATATTATTGTTTGATCTTTGAGATTGTTACTGTTCATTATCTTCAACTTACATGTTGTTTTTTTTTTAGAGATAAATGTTTTCAGCTGGTTATCCTTCTACATGTACTTCAACTCGTAACACTACATGTACAATGATATATAGGGAGATATCAAACAATGATAATTCTTTACTCGCAAATCAAATAACGATTGCAAAAATTAACTTGCTCTAAACGCCCAAAAATTAATGTATTAAAATTAAATGAGAAAAAAAAGATTTTTAATTTTTAAAAAAAATATATCCTTTTGTGTATTTGATATTACTTGATGGAAGTAAATTCAAATTCATTTACATTTCTCTGCCTAACAATGTTTTCAACAAATTTTATCCTTTTAGACTGCTGATGAATGGCAAAACGTCTTCATCATTGCAAGCGTGGTGCATTTCCTTGGCATCATATTTTATGGCATCTTCGCTTCCGGCGAGAAGCAGCCGTGGGCAGAACCACCAGAAGAAGACAGGTGGCGCCCCGAGGATACGCTTAAAGCAGACGGTTCAGGAAAACTGTTTTCGTATGGTGCTTTTAATGGATATGATACAAATCAAGCAGAGGAAAAGATGAACGGAGGGGTTATATCAAACGGACATGTAGGGAACGAGTTTCAAGGGAATGGAGAATATGGCGGATTTGATAAAAGTGATGAATACTATAACAATGGGTATGGAGGGGATTATGGGAAAAGGATGTCATTTGATGCACCGTTATATAATACTAAAGAGGAACTTGTACAGGTGCAATCAAAAGATAGCTATCTAAATGACAAAAGAGAATTATAATAATTGTGATAGTATTAGGTACAGCTTTTGAATTTAGATCATGAAACAACCATACCACAACGATCTCGTTGCTTTTTCGAGAATATCATTGCATTACTCCTCACTATTTTATAGATTTACTTTACCTATATGTTGTACATGATTACAAAAGTCTAACTAATCCATGGTTAGATTATGTCTTTGATTGTCATTAACATTTAAACATTCATAATTCTTTCCGATAAACTTGAAAGAATGAGAACTTATAATGAAGTAATTTTGCCTTGTTTATGAAATCACTAAGTGTTTTTAACATATTTATAATATAAAACACTAACATTACTTTTAATATTGTGATATGAAAAAAAAACCTGGTAAAGATTAGATATTTAAATCTTGTATAATGAATAGGCAAGCAGGTGAATAGGTTATTAAATGTAGAGTGATGCCTTTTACATTATGTTTGACACTCTAAAGTGTTATGTTTTGTATAGTTTAAAATGTTCTAATGATACATGTAAAAGTACAATTTTTTTGCATGACATCATGTTAGTGATTAGAGTCATTTGGACGATAAATGTATCTGATAAATGGTCGTTACAGATTATCCTCGAAGAGTGAAATTTTCTTAAATACCGCACATATAACATGCATGTTTTTAGTCTTTAATTTACCTATGTTTCTAATTATGCCGAGAACCTAATGCGATGTTGGTTTTAATTTGAATACAATCTCGTTAGACTGGATAATAGTTGAATCTTTTCACTATCAAAAACATTTGACTGTGAAAATCTAATTTTACCCTGCGGCAAATTTTGGAATAGAATGGTATTGACCGGAAGAAATACGCCCATCCCAAAATTCTGTTATTAACACATAGTATTGGAACAGCCGAATTCCCCCCCCCCCTTATTTGATGTTTTCAAACAGACACTAATTTGATTCAATGTATACATGAAGCCCACATACAAATGTATGCCAACTAAGACATTTTACAGAATTCCCCCAACTCGAATGAATATCATTAAATTACTACTATCTTGTCCTTTTGAAAACAATTAAATATATAATTGATATTGGATAATGAAAGCACGGATATGACTTTTTTTTATTATAAATAACCCATTTTTGTTAGAATTGATATTAAAATCAAATCATCCTAGCATGTTAGTCTTTAAATATCTGATTTCAATAACGTACTAGTATGTAGTGTGGTAGAGTTTATTTTTGTATAAATTACTCAAAGAAAAAGAGATGTTAGAGACATTTGTTAAATTTTTGTTCGTTTGTTAATCTTTGTTATGTTATATATAGTAGAATGTGTTATTATGCAATATGATATTAAACTTTTTGTTTAATACGAGATGTTTTGTGTATCATTTTGAATAAGTAAAACATTGATTCATTGTTGAAATATTCATTTCATTATACCAATAAGTTGTTATATCGACCGAATGTTAGAAAAGAAATATTTAAAACTACAGAATAAGTAGCATTTATTCTCAACAACCAGGTCATGAAGCAAATTGTCTGATAAGGTCTGAAAAAGTTATAACTATAAATTTTTTAAAGTATAGGGAATTGTGACAGACGATGGATTAAATATGAATCTTAAGACCTTGACACTCTTAGAAATGTTAAAAGCATGAGGTGAGTATATAAATCTCGTATCAGACGGTGGTGGTAATATGCAAGCAGGATAGCAATCTGTCTGAAGTAATTCATATACGAGGGGTGATCAAAAAGTTCGCGAACTATCTCTATATTTACAAAACCACGATTCAGATCAGAATGACATTTGACACACCTATAGTCGAGCATATGTTCTATAAATAGCACATGAAAAGTAATGAATTTCTCCATCATTGTAACGTCACAATGTGAAAATGACGTCAATATGTAGGTGATTCGTGACGAAAAAGGGTTGTCACAGTCTTACTCGAGAAACGAACTGTTGTAAAGTTTAATGTATAACTTGGAAATTACTTTGAAGTATCTTATAATAATTTGTACACGGTTTATGAAGACAAGAGACTTTCCCGACATTCAATCATAAATTGGATTGATTGTTTTAGTGAAGGGAGGGAGATAGTTAAATATGACGTTTATTTTTTAGCCCAGCGAACGCAAGCGGGGGGAAGAGATGTGTCCTTTTTTCGGCTATTTCTTATGAAAGATTGCGAAGTTACAGCAAGAAAAATTAATGAATATCTTAGCTTAATATTATTATTAAATCCCGAAAATATCGGTTAATCTAGACTTTTAACATATTAAATATGATAAAAAGAAGGGCCCTACAACTATATCCATATTGGATAAACGACGTTCATAAGACAGAGAGCTCAGGTTGTAATGGTCACAATGTTCTTTCTGGGAAAGGATATCCTTATCCAATTGTCCTATTTCTAAGATTTTGTCGTCTGTGACAAATTGACTGTTCTTGTTATAAAAATTAACTTGCATGATTAGAAATATAAGATTCGGAAAAATATATTAGCGTCTATGAACAGAATGCTTCAGAGCATGTCACGTGATCGCCTGGATCACGTGATTCGCGCATGAGCAGAACGGTGGCAGATATGCATTAAATTCAGAGAGGGGTTATTTTAAAAAATAATGAACACTGAAACCTAATTTTATTTGTTTTATGAAAGTTATTCAATTTGTTCGCGAACTTTTTGATCACCCCTCGTATAAGTAAAGAATTTGATAGATCATAATTGCTAGTTCCAACTTGTAATATTATAGTCTTTGCAAGATTCATAATTAGGCCTACCGTTGGATTTTAGAGGATCTTGATTATCGTTCTAAAATTTAATCCAATTTATACACATAGTCACCTATAAGAAGATTCTTCAAAGCCAGGTGTCAATCTTAAATAATTTGATTTAAGTTTGGACGTCATTTGATTGTATAAAAGATTTAGTTTATATCGTATAAGTTGCCTACTCCGCCTGACGTTACTTTTAAAACATGCTCAGTTTGAATCCATTTTTGGAGGAAAACGTCTTATTGTCTACTCTGAAATTAAATTATAAGGACTGAAGCTCATTTTAACCTATGTTATACGATCTAACATACCTTTGGAGAGATTACGCTTTTTTATAAGCCGCTTCGCGGTTATAAGGCGTAAACTGCATCAAGTTATGTTATATCGTATAACATAGGTTAAAATAAGCTTCATTCCTTATATATTCCTTCAATATTTTAAACATATTTTTGTATTTCCAGCACAATATTTAATTTAAACTACCATAACTAAACTAGATTGCAAAACCTTAAATTGAAAATAATTACAAAGAAATTTAGAAATACCTAGTAATTGATCTATAGAACCTCTTTCATCACTTCTCACAGAGAATATAAGCAGAGGTGAATAGGACATTTTGGAAGATCATTCAGAAAGTATTTTAAAATGTCTACACAAAAATATACACCTGTACTCTAAAATAAAAACAAAATGGAAAATTTAATTCTAACCAAACTCAACATATCGTTTTTCAACATTTGGCGGCTGTCCACATTTACATTTCACATGATAAATTGAAGATCAGACTTAACTTTATTATAGTCAATTGATTTCCTGATATTAAATCTTTGAAGCCTTTTCAAAACAATCCATCTCGATCATGAAAAATAATTTTTATTTTATAAGCTGGCGTTGTTTCTTTAATAAAACATTTGATAGAATATATGGAGATTACATACAGTTTTCAAGCTCAGACGTCCATTAAATAATACTCATCGATCATTATAGAAAAAAAATTCCGTGAAAAAAAGAAGTATCTTTCTATAGCCTTCGTAGCCTGTAGTGTGACATGTAAATTTATTTACTAATAAAAATTCCTTTCTAGAGAGAAAAGTCTTTAAAATCATTCGTCATATTTTAATCAATATTTTTGATATTCCTGACTACAAAATGAAGTTGAATAACCATGCATGTATCTTTATCCAAAACTTCATAAAAATTGTTACAAGGATACATTAGCGGGTTCCAGTAAATATTAAGTTTTAACCAAGCCTTTTTCTTTACTCCTCATTAAAATATAAATTACACTGTAGTGAAGGAGAAACCTCAGAAGTACTTTTGAATTATATATTTCGAGAAGTGGTGTAGATCAGATTTGGATACTCATAACTTCCAAAGAACGTTTGGAAAAGTTTGAAATCATAAAATTTTACCAAAAGTAAGACAGTATAAACTTAACGACTTTTCAAATTTATATACAATCATTCCCCATGTTACATTAAAGGCCAAGCTTTTTGATATCATTTAAAGCTCAATGGAACTTGTTACCTTGCTCTGTGATTGTCATTTGCAGAATTACTTTTTTATAAAAAACAAGCAAAAACAATCTGATGGTACATAGAAGTACTCTGATATTGATATTAATTATGCTTGAGTTTCTTATTGAACTATCTGTGTGGTTTTCGGAGACCACGTCTCCCAGCAAATTATAGAAATTTCCATGGGCATCATTTGCACCCCGTAATAAGCATATCTATTTTTTTATTCATATGAAACAGATCTATTTTTTTTTATTTGTGAAAAAAAATACTTGCTGTAGCTTTCAACTTGACATTTAGGTATATCAATGACGGTCATTTCCTTTATTATGTCGACACTATATATATCCCTCTTGAGCTTGAAATAACAGAGCAAGAAGCAACAGAGCTTGACACATCTCTCTTAGTTAAACAAGTAAATGTTTTCTTTGGTTGTTAGTACGAGAATTAATGTCACAGCTGTAGCTAAAAAAAATTACATAACCCGCATAAGCGGATTATGTAATTTTTTTCTGCAATATCTGCAACATAAATTCCCGTACTAATAAAAAAAGAAAGAATTTTTCGTTGATATTGACATTGGTATGGAAAAAACCCCATTAAGAATAAAATTAAATTTGTTAAATATTGTATAATAGTCGTAGATGTCATTGTATGCATAACTGACGGAACAGCCATTCTTCAAGAAATCTATGCAAGTTGCTTTCTTTGTGTCGTGTATGGACTTATTAACGACAATGGTCTTCATAAGAAATAAAAGAAAAAATATTAAGTGGATGTAAATATATGTGAATACGGTATTTTACTTTGAAAAAGATGTTAATGATAATCTATCAATAAAACTTTTTCCTTTTATATCTTTAGGACGGTGAGCAAATTTAAATTAAAGAAATTGGGAGATTACTTCAGGATCATTATCTTCCATATCTGTGGTTCTTCGAAAAGTCTCTTTGATGGCCAACATCCATCACAAACATTAGCATGTACTTTGTTGTTAAAGAACCTAAGTATGTTTTTTCTTAAGTTTTTTCAAATAGACCCCTGAAAACCATTTCATTACACTTCCATGTGGTGATTATGCCTATTAGAAAGCTTCGATTTCCAGAAGAAGGCTACAGCAAACAGTTTTAAGAATTAAATTAAAATTAAATGTAAAAAGCGATCAACTGTCTTACTTAAGGTATGTCACTCGTGAAATTTGTTAAATCAAGGATTTTTTGAGAAGTATATTTTGGAGAAGTACTCATATAGAGTGACTCAAAATCGCAGAGAAAATAGGGGGTCAGTGTTCATCACAGAGGAGTAAATATCCCTTGCTGATCGGTCACACTTGCCACGTCTGTTCAATATGAAAATATTTGCCCACCAATATTTATGAAAAAAAATTAAATTCAACTTAAGTACAGGTTGTATATGCATACAAGGTAATTGTGTTTACCAAAGAATTCGTAAAATGTCGACTTGAAACAAAATCTTTTGATATCCTTGTTAAATTCTATTTTCGATGTAATTAACTTTGACACAAAGGAAAACAGTCGTTTTTCGAATTTTGACCATTGTTTTACAACAGAATTGTTTGGCCACTACTTTCATAAAATTGTCTAAGTTTATCCCGCTTGCTAGGTAAAAACAAAGGGTCCAGTGCTGGCATGACCAGTCCACAGTTTTACTTTTCGTTGGCATTTGATTCTAAGAGTTCCGGGGAAAAGTGCATCGTTTACATTGAATATGAAGCAACTGGTTAACTTCACAATTCAGAGTTATTTCTCTTGTGCCAGTTACTTTTTCAGTTTCTTTTTCAGCAGCCATTATTACAATTCATCCTGTACATGCGTTTACTGTTATGGAAGTAACAATTCTGTCTTTTTGTCACATTTTAGAAATTAAAATTAAAAAAGAAAATATTCAGTGCAAACATGAGCAACTTAAATATTGCACAGTACTTTAGATATGATATACCCCCCCCCCCCGAATTCTACGGTTTTCCAGACAATTTATTTCGAGAAATGTATTATAATTGGACATTGATACAAAGCACTATA